GGACAGTGTAAGATATGACAAAATAGTAACAATTTATAAATTATCAAGGGTTCATAAGGGAGGGGGGAGCAGGGAGGGAGGGGAAAAAGATGATACCAAGGGCTCAAGTAGAAAGCAAATGTTTTGAGAATGATGATGGCAACAGATGTACAAATGTGCTTGACACAAAGGATATATGTATGGATTGTAATAAGAGTTGTACGAGCCCACAATAAAATGATTACATAAAAACAAAATATGGGTGGTGGGGGGTGGGAGGCAATGAGTCAAAATTGACCCAATAGCCAGGGACAGTCTATTAAGTGTAGTCTAATAGGAGAATTACCAAACAGTGGCACAGGGACAGAGTGAGACTATGCTGCTGGAGGAAAAATGTGCCTCTACATCGCCACATGCCTTCAATTTGTTTTGTTTTTTAAAAAGGAAAAGGAAAAACAAAACAAAAAACCCACAACCACTCGCAGGACATGCAGTTATCTGGGAAGGGCAGAAGGGCACTAAACCAGGGAAGCTGTCATGAGGACTCGGACACGCTGTGAGGAAGGTGACCAGTGTTACCGGACCCTTTGTGTCCAAGTCGTTGAATGGAAACCTGACTGGTTTCATACATATTTAAAACGTGGGAGGAGAGGTGGGCGTGTCCTTCCCCGTGCCCCTTTGCAGAAGCTGGGCTGGGATGCCCCACGCACCCAGGGCCTGGCCTCCCGCCTACACGGTTCTGGGGTGCTAAGGGTTCCGTCCCAGTTCCGGCGCGCGGCTCGGAGCGGCTATCAACCGGACGGAATGGAGGGCTGCTCCCACTCGAGAACCCAAGGTCCTGGATGGCATTGGGGCGTGAATAACTGAGTGATTAAAAAAAACCCCAAACCTCAGCCATATTGTGACCTGGGAGGAGAAAGTGGGGCGAACCGCCCGGGGCGCTCACCTACACGAAGCTTTCTTCTCCACCATTGTCACAGAGTAGCCGCCGGAAGAGCCTGCTGCGCACGCGCACTGGGCGGACGGCGCAGGTCGGGGCAGCTTCACTTCCGCCGCCGCGGCGCCGCGCGCTTCCGGGCTTCAGCAGAAGCCCTGCAACACGTAGCGTTTCCTTGGAGACGGGAAAGCTTTCCGCATTTCACAGGGGCA